TTTCCGATTTTCCGGTTCGTTCCTTTCCGAGTCGTCGAGACTAGTGAACCGGGAGCGACACTTGACAATCCCGTCTCCTTGTTATGTTCCAAAGAGCATACAAACATCCTTTGTTTCTTTTGCTTAATAGGTCTTGCAATTTGCCAGCTGTAGTACTCTAAAATCATACCGAAACTCAACGGCGACGTCGATTACTCTGAGGGAGATGGTGGTGCGTACATTTCAAACAACTACATGAGCATATATGCTCTGCGCCTTGTCAAACACAACTAAATTTCTATTCTACTAACGTATTGTGTATCACTTCTTATTTGATTTTTTTTTTTTTCAATAGACCGCACAGCAGTCCTACAAGATGTACGTATATTCATCGCTTTTTCTTACTACTACAGTCAGCACTGTAGTTGAACGACTCATTTTTGGTCAGCAGTACTAATAATAATCATATGTTCTGTTGTTCTGTAGTTCATTTTATCCAACCGCTGTGACTATTGAAGCCAGTCGGGGTGCTGGTGATGAACGGTTGTCCATTGACCGTATCAGCGGGGCGGTGAGTGTATCATCAGGCAAGGCTGTTGCATTTGCCGCTGCCCCGCAAAGGACGATTACAGCACATGGAGTAATGGGATTGATTAACCTACAGCGTGGGCCATACCTGGTTTTGGTTTCCCGACGCGAGGCAGTGGGAGCAATTGGATTATCTACAGTTTACCGAGTAACAGAGACGCAAATTGTTAAGGTTGCCGCAGATAACCGAGTGGTGGATGGGTTTGATGCGCTAGACGAAGCTACATACCGGAGACTGCTTGAGAACGCTCTGGCTGTAGATTCCTTCTACTTTTCATACGATATGGATCTAACTAACTCTCTTGAACGCCAGCACCAGCAAAAGGAACAGCAGCAACAGAAAGGGGGTGCATTTTATAAAACAGCCAGCGATGAGTTTTTTTACAACAAATATCTAGCAGAGCCATTTATTGAAGCTGGTGCGCCAGGTGCGTTTGTAGTGCCAATGATTCATGGGTTTTTTGAGTGTCGACAGGTGATGATTCGTGGTGCAGCATTCAATTACGTTCTGGTGACAAGGCGTGGAAGAAAGCGTCAGGGTACGCGTTATTTCTCGCGTGGTGCGGATCCTGATGGTAACGTTTCGAACTTTGCCGAGACAGAGCAGATTGTAGACTTTGCCGCACCGAGCGCCAGCGCATCAGATGAACGTTTTGCTGGTGTGCAAATGTCTTATGTGCAGCTACGTGGTTCTATTCCTATTGTATGGGCGCAAGTGGTTAATATGAGGTATGTGCCAGTTCTCAAGATTGATCTCGAAAACAGTCGTGAGCGATTTGATAGACACATGTCACGAATGGTTAGCCAATACAACGAGGTGGTAGCAGTCAACCTTGTCAATAAAGTAGGTCTTGAGAAGCGCATGGGTGATGCCTTTGCCGAGCTTTCTGCACAGTACAAGAACCCACTTTACCACTACACGCACTTTGACTTTCACCAAGAGTGCAGCAAGATGCGGTGGGATCGTATCAGTATACTTATTGATGAGCTGTCACAGTTTAATCACAGGTTTGGATACTTTAAAACGGGCAAAACGGAAGGAGAAAAGACTGCTGCTCAGCAACTACAGACTGGTGTGATCCGTACAAACTGCATGGATTGTCTGGACCGCACGAATGTAGTGCAGTCTGAGCTTGCGCGTGTACTTCTGGTACAGCAATTGCGCGATATTGGCGTGTTCTCAAACACTGATACTATTGCTCAATTCCCTGCGCTTCGTTCAATGCTTAATAATGTATGGGCTGATAATGCTGATGCCGTCAGCTGTGCGTATTCGGGAACTGGCGCGCTTAAAACAGACTTTACACGCACAGGGAAGCGCTCATATTTGGGAGCTCTACGGGATGGCCGGAACTCTATCGAGCGCTATATACGCGGTAACTTCTTTGATGGTGAACGCCAGGATGCAAATGACTTGCTGCTTGGAAAATTCAAGGTGCGGCCTGGACAGTCTAGTCCATTTACCCTTGAACAAACCCAAGAAGGGCGTGCGTTAATGGGTACCGTGTATGTGTGCTTGTTTATGCTTGCCTATGCTCTATTTTATCCGCGTGGAGGACATTGGTTTGGTGCCAGCAATGTGGTCTTTTGTTTTTGTTGGCTTGCTGTTTTGGCGCTAGTGTTTGTCACTGTTAGGAACAGTCATACTGCAGAGATGCTTAGCTGGCCCAGACTTTCGTACTATCCTTACCGTCCTGCTATCTCGCATACCAATGCTTCACTTAAGCTACCCTTGGTCGATCGCCTGCTCTCTAATGCTGATAAGAAGGCTTCGCTACGCAGTGATGATATAAAGAAGGCGTGGCCTACTGACAAAAAGTTTGCTTAGTAAGCTTTTTTTTTAACAACTCATCCATTACATCCACTTCTTTTTTTTTTTCCACTTTTATTCTTTCAAATGCAATAACAGGTATGATATCAGTTAAGAAATTGTAAAACTTATTGAAAATTAAAAGCGTTATCGCCGACCTTTTAATCTTTTAGTATTTTTTGTAAGACGCTGTGAGCGACCAATGATGTGCGTTTTATGATTTAGTAAATGTTCGATTGAACAAGTAGCAGTGGATGGCTCTGGTGGAGGTCTAGAATGTAAATAAATGTCAATAGCAATGCGCACAGCATCAGTATCCATAGGAACAGTGGACATGTCAATTTTCTGTGCTTTGCGTTTGACAAGAGAAGGAACCGCAGTAGGACGCATAGCAAAAACACGATGACGATGTTTGTATATTTGACGACAATGGAGTCGTAATCTTGGAACATGTTTGTTTCGACGCAAAAACATGTGTAAAGACCAGAAGCGTGGTAATAGAACATTGAGTACACTTTTTGTAAATCGTTGTGATGTGGCGTGTCGCAAAAAAAGACGCTCAAGTCCATAAAATCCAGTGTTTAGACGTGCTTGCAGACTGATTACCACTGCATTATCGAGGATGCGTCGTCGAAATAACATTGGTACTCCGTGGTGGCTGAGTACATAATCTGCCAACTGCAGTGCTCGACGTGCGGGAAGAGCATGCATCAGATTCTCATAGAATGCCTGCACTGTATCATTGTTGGGAAATTTGGGCGCAGTGTCCTGTGGCCGTAATAATGGAAGAATGCGGGGTGCGAGCTGCATTGCCTCTTGAGTATGTCCGCTGGATGTAAGGTAGCCATGCCACAAAGCCAACTCACTTGGTGTGGGTGTTATTCCACGTCGAAGTGTCTCTCGCAATAATACTCGCCGTACAGAATCAAATCCACGCAATACTGGTACCCTACTATTGTACAACACACGGGTAAGTTGTGCCAATAGTTCCCGCCATGTGTCTTCATCCAAAGCCTTTGTTACAGATCTTAATGCGTGTATGAAGAGCGTCATAGGTAATGAACTTTTCAGCCTTATTGTCCATTCACATATTTCTGCTGTTGCACGCACAGCTACCATAGAATCTCCAGAAACCACCCGCGCCAAACCTCTAACGTATGCTGCAAATAACTTTTGAGCTCGTTTGTTAAAGTGCAATTCTAATTGCGGTGCAAAAAGTTTCAGTGGTTTAGTAGCATAGAGTTGATGTCGCTGTAGACGCATAGTTAATTCATCTTCTAACAGTGCAGCTCCTAATTTCTCGCTACTTTCTACGTCTAAAAGCTCTTTCTCAAATAAAAGCCGGTCTCCTACACCAGTCGCTGCCAAGAGTCGTTCTGCACTGTTGTGTTTGTCTTTTGCAATTAACAGACGAACTGCCTCTGACATGGCTCCTAGCGGCCATTGTGCTGTGCCTGCCATAGATTTTGCATGAACAAGCTCGATATCCAATTTGCTCCCATCGCCAGATACCACTGCCTGGTGTGTACGAGCTGTAGCTATCTGTCTTATTGCGACTATATCATCACCTGTACCTTCTGTTTTGGTTAGTGATTTACTGATATCTGAAGGTACCACGCCGCGATGTAAGGCTGCACAGTAAAACGCAGCTGCTAGCTTTGCGTCAATACATATGCCCTGTGCTATTATCCTTTCATGAAGTTGTGTTACTAGAACTGCGCTGATTGCTGCTGATCCGACTATACTTCTTAGCAAGTCAAAATTTGTTGGACAAAGCGCAGCTACCACAGCATCAACATACTGTGTCCGCGCCGCATCGTTGCCGTTGATATCACTACGCACTGCACCAAGAGCACTTAACAATACTCCTGTACCTGCTTGCATATGTCGTGCAATTTCTGCCAGAGTTTCACTGGCTACTAGTGCCTTAACTCTGTTACTTCCACCCAACAATACATTTAGCAAGTCTGCTGCACACTGATCTAATTGCTCCATTCTAATGCCTGTTGGATTCCCTGTTCTTATGCGATCGTCACGTATTCGTCGTAACAAAAGTTCTAACCGATCTATTGATCCATGCATTAGTGCTTGTGCTAGTAACTCTGAATATTTTATAAAGTACATGCTACCCTCTCGCCATGCTACCTTTTGTTTAGCTGCAAGTTTAATTTGTAGAGTAGCATTTCGTCCAATTTGTTCACTTCGTTTTGCAGCTGAAGGGTACATCTGTTGAAGCATCCGTAGTCGCCCTACTGTACTAACCGATCCAACTTTCCACCGTCCTATCCTTCGCATCGTCTGTTTTTTTTTCTACTGATATATAAGCTGTTAAATAAAAAGCAGATCTATGCTAGTTATTTGCTGCTCTGGATAATTTTGCTTCGAAGGCTCCTCAATATGACAATCAGAATAATTAACATATGGGTAGAGCAATTATAATATCAGGATTTGACTTTGACTGCAAACAATCGGATTTTTTTTATATATACAATTCTACTAAGTTTATTATAAAGGTAAATAAAGGGATATACAGACTCTAAAGCAGTCTTCGTTTATACTTTTCTGTAGCAATAAAAAAAGTAGCTTAATATTTAATACCTATTTTGAGGATTTTTTTCAGCAAGTCGCGATGGTGTAGTTGGTTATCACGTACGCCTCACACGCGTAAGGTCTCCAGTTCGAGCCTGGATCGCGACATTTTTTATTATTTTTTATTTACACATTTTTTGAAGAGTTGAATAAAAGGAAAAATCCTTAAAAACAAATACGCTAGACCAGCTAGAGTATTTTAAATAAATTCAATTCGAACAACCTCGTCAAAGTGCACATGCTTTTTTTGCATGTGAGGGTGTTTTCCGCAGCGTCTCATCGGGTTCTTAAAACACGATCGAGTTGGCTGCATACTCCTCATCATTCTCGTTTCCATCATTTCATTCCTCATAAGCATATCTAGGTAATGCCTATGTGCCTGGTCTTCTCTATGTATGATCATGGCGTTGGGGTCGCTTTCTGGCATATTGGAATACATCGAAACAATTTCATCAATAGGATCATACGGAATTACTTCCAAAACCGCAGCAGTCTTGGGTCGGCGAAAACACTGGATTTTGCGCTTAACAGAGGTGCAAAAACTATTATTATGACAAGAAGTGCGCGACAGGCAACGCGGCTTTGACTTAAAGGCGGGATTGCGCTGATTTCCTGCTTCAACACATACGCCTGACTGCGGCGTGGTCTTGCTGGTAAACTGGAATACTTCGTGGAGTCTCCAGAACATCTCGCGTACAATGTGAACCATGTTAGTTAAGTGAGTAAATAGAATATTAAAGTGTTGTTGTATCTTCGATGGATAAGTGTGCTCTGTTTGGGTAATGTCAGGGGTGAGGTCAATGAAGAATTTGGTGGAGAAGGAAAAGCCTGGCGACGGGAAGCGCATCCATGACATTTTATACTTTTCAAACTTTTCTCTTGGCAACAATTATATGTTTTCACGACCTTGCCCTCCTCAGAATATGTGCTTTTTCGGTCCTGGAGGGTTGTTCCACTTTACCTTTGGCAGACAAAACCCGCATTCCATCATCTTAATCCCACCAGATCAGCAAAAAAAAAAAAAAAGCACCATGGGGTTGGAACCACCTCACGTCCATTTAAATTCTTATTTGTGTTGGCATGTGTTCGGGCATCATCAGAAAATGGCTTTGTCCCAGATGTCTTATGCATAATATAAGCCACTTGTTTATGCAAGAAAGCCGAGTGACAATTGAGCAGAGCTCCAATAAATTTACATATTTTATTTTTGAGTGCATATGCTTTACATTGGCAAATTTGTTGTTTGAGGTAATGTGCTTGTAAAATTTTATCGCGAAAGTATTGACTGCGTTTATCCAATAATTAAAATTTTGCTTGTAACTTTGTCTCATGATGCAACAGCAAGGAATATAGAGATATTGCTACACTTTCAAAATGAAATATTGTAGATATAGACATCTTTGCAGGCGTACTTGTTATTTTCAAATCGGTACATGGTTCTGGCCGTGTTTGCATATTTATTAAAAACAATAGAGCAGCCTCAGGATAGTGGCTGTTATTCTTTGTAAAACATCAAGAAAAAATATGTTTATCATGAGGGTATTACTTCTCCTCGAAAAGACAACGGAGTGCTCTGCCGAATTAATGACCAAATGTTGGGGGGGGGGGTGGCTGATGGATAAGCTCATTGCTGGATAGAGTGCACCAGAATATACATACAAACAACATTCTCGGTTTTCAGGCAAATAGAGCACTTTACTTGGGCTACCAAATGTAAATGCAAAACAAACATACCGCTTGCTTAACAGTCTTATGGTCAAATACCACCAGAGAAAAGAACATATTATTAACGCACATTAAAGGTTGCGGTTGTATATACACCTTTAACTGCTTGGCTGTTTAACTTAAATCGCCAACTGCGCTTGACAGCAAACAAAAGACGTTTTGTCATTAAAAATAAAGCAACCCTTACGTTTGGCTTTTGCCACCCATCCCTCATTCCAATGCAGTATTACACATTGAGCGGATGCTGCAGCGGTCATCTACGAGGCGGATGGACTGCAGCTGTGAGCCGGAGAACGCAATTGCCTTGGAATGATTCCATGCGCCTCCTATCAAGCCAAATATGTATTTTTTGGTCAGCTAAGTAAATGGGAATTATGTTCAATTTTTCCCACCGAGCTTATTTTTATTATTTCTGGTGCCCCACTTCTCAACAACACACCCACACTACTTTTTGAAGCCTACCTAGGCCACATAAATATGCCAAAAAGCCACAGTTGCAGCACAGGAATTCCAGGTACCAAACCCTCCTGCTACTCAAGAAATCATCCCCCCCTTAGATGACGGGTTGGCATCCTGGACCTCGTCAATCTATATGGCTGATCAAGATTAGTGCATTTATTAGTCATGGGTTTATAAAAGAAATTGCGTATTTTGCAAGGAAAACGACTCTTCTCGCACTACAGATCTAGGCGTCTGCAATCAAAAAAACCCGTAGCTACATACAATCAGATTTATTACGCATTTAGATCCAAGTGCACCTCCGACTCAAAGGTTTCAAAGAAACCCGGTGTTTAAACGCACAGCTTCACTGTTTCTCGCTTATAAAGCCGCATTTCCAGTGTTACGTGATTATTATTATGCAACCAAGGATGAGGAGAACAGCAACAAGGTTGTCATTTATATACAGGCCATGTTAATAAAGTTACCGACATGTTGGTGACTTAGGGACTTAAAAACCAAAAAGATGTAGCAAAGGATAAGTTTTTAGTTATTTAAAGTTAGTTTTTGGTTTGCATGGTCCCAATGTTCTTTTATCGAGTTCTTCAACATCTTGCTATCTTTTTTAGCAAAAAATTTTCATTTAGTAACAAATTTAAACTTGTTTGAAACAAAAAAATAATCATGAAATACCTCTAAAGCTTTTTATACCAAGTTAAGCAATGTTGTATAGCCCTTATATATATTTTATACACCCCCTATTTAATCTTTAATGCAACTAAAATTTGTCAAATATCACACATTTATTCTTTTTCCTGCTGTTGTTCATAGATGGACAGATGGTAAAACGGTCGGTCGATAGGTCGAACAAAAACTAAAAATGCGTAAACCATATTATATATGGAGTGGGATAGAATTAAAAATGCAACTGGTTATAAAAAAAAACTAAAATATATATTAATTGTAAATATGCTTAGAAACTACATATAATAGCAACTCGGTGTTTTTGCAGACACAAGCAAATTATATTGTTTGTCTTAAAAATACCTTGTTAACTATCAACATCTGCAATATCGCTTCTGTATATGGCATTATCTATAACTGTATCCATCGCAACATCTGCTGCTTCTACCGGGTGTATGGTACGGATGCCAAACCATGAAGCGTAAAACCCGAGCTCCTCATTATCTGTGATAATAGATACCGAGCGGTCTGGAAACCTAATATGTGCAAGAAGCAAAGCGCAAGATAACAGCCCACGCATGTAGTCGGGAACATCAGCAGCGGTTGGCAAATCCTCTTCTTCGTCAGTCAGACTATCATCTACAATATCAGCCAATCCGCAGAGGTATGCGTTGGCGTCGTCCCAGCAATTCAAACCATCTGCCCGAAGTAATGTAAATAGCTGCTTTTTTGCCTCGCCATCAATAAATTGTAGTACTGCTCGTGCTTTATAATCATTGCTGTTAATAAGATTATGTTGCACAATATCAGCCAGTACTAGTGTGGATTTGCGATTAAGAATAAATTTTCGTAGCATTGGTAAATGGTCGCGCCACGTTGACTCATCCGGAATACATAACGATGTCGGTGCGGCAAGTATAGAGTCGGGTCTTGTCCCATTTGCCTTCGGTTTGGGAATACCAATTAGCGGCTCGCCTGAATAGTCCCACGATATAAGCGTAGAATCGGACAGCTCAGCTATTGCAAACACCACAAGCTGAACCCGCGCAAACACCACCTGCATCACGCCGGAAGTACTTTGCCAAAACTCCATCAACGTGGTATCAGCGTCCTGCGGCATACGTAGCATACTGTATAAGTCTGTCATTGTGTGTGGTGAACAAATACTACCGAGTAGATTATAGTGTAAGGTTTTTTGTGTTTGCCTCAAAGATGCCCAGCCCATCAGCGACACATCGTGTGGCAGCACAATGTTGGCCATACTATTGTTCCGTTCTGCACCTCTTAACAAGGCAATATTTGGAGTATGTTTACGAAGCAGATAAACAAGGCAATCGAATAGCTCTGCTGCGTACTGGTAAATCCCAATAGGGTATTGATGATTTTTGTGATGATCATAAAGACTGAATAGAGCGCCCGAGCGCCAAATGTCTACCCACAGTGCAACACTAATGAGAGGATAGATAATTCCAAATGATGCTTCCGCATCATTTTGACCATATATTTCTAGTATCTGATGCAAGCACGTAATATGGCGCATTAAAAGCACCAATGCCAAGTGTTGGATCCAGTCCCTAAACATCTCGAGTTCGTCGTCGGCAATATCGAGCGAGTAAGATACAGCTGTAAATAGTGCAGCCAATATCACGCAAAGCTGGTACTCGCGAGCCCAGAAATCGCTATCCAAGTTCACCAATGATTTGTTAGTTCTAATTTCGGACAGATTCTCATCCAGCATCTCTAGCACTGAGCGATATGTCTTCTCAACGCTTGCCTCTGTGGCGTCATTCAAGACTGCATAGGCAAACCTAATCAAAGACTCTTCAATTGGATCTTCATAACTACCGTTACTGACATCATCCGTAGGCACAAAAAGCAAGCTTCCTCTGGCGTGTTTCCTGGGGGTCTCTCTTGCGTAACCAAGCCCGAAAACTTGCCAATACACAGCCTCAAATTTGTTGTGAGCGTAAGCTGATAACAGCGCCAACTGTATACACGCGCGCCCGCTGTCTGCAAACATGGCACGTGCACGTGCATAGGTCCAGCGAGCTAGCTCTAGTAGGCTACCTGTGTCTGTCGTCCCGATGTTGCTGTAGGTAAGAAGTGGAAGATACATGTACTGGTACCGGTATACGTCTCCAATATATACATAAATACGCCGTACAAGCTGGAATTCGTCTGGAGACCGATATTGCGTATCAGTAATGTAGTTTATAGCGTATTTAAGCGAGCACTGTTCAAGCTGTAAACTGACCTGGTCG